ATCGGGGTTAGGAAGGATTGGAGATCATTAGAGGACAGTTCCAGCTAATTATATAAACCTTACAGATGGCGGAGAGTACCAACACATAAAATCTTGCTTTATAATGTCATTTGTCTGGCGACAAGAAGTAAAACTCTACTCTACTCTGATACAACAAATAAATAGAATTTAAGTATGAAACAATAACCATCTAATAGATAAAAGGGCGGGTTAACGGGGAGACAACCATCAGGTGAAATTGAATGAAGAACGAGATGAGATATGGCGAAACTGACACCAACCATCTGGGAATTGATATATTGTTATCGAAATTATAAACCCCCAGTACCATCATAATAAAGACAGCAATATCTGTGTACTGAGGTAACTAGATCAACAAGACTGGAGAGATGTGGGTGTATACCTTCATGTGTTTGAAAGCTCTAGATTGTTGAACTATGCATATATCGATCTGTGCTGTTGTGTAAAACCTTTACTTTTATCATCTAGTAACAGGTTGTGTAAAACAATAAAAATGAGATAGTGGATAAAAAGCTGTTTAAATGTGTTGTTAATTTCATGGGTCATCCTAAAATTTTACATAACGTGTAGTCGAATGATCATTCATTGTGACTTTGCATCAGTAATAAAAAAAGAAATTAATTGGTATCTAATTGAAAACATGTTTAGAGGCTAAATTGAAAGGTTTTGTCATTTTCCAATCAAAATTGGCTTGTTCAGCACGACAGGTTGTAATTTCACACAATGTCAACATGATGAAGCTGGTAACATCTTTGTTAGGTTTCTGATGTAGTGGAAAGGCAGTATGTATCTGTGTGTGCTGTGATGCTATCTCATGGTGACAATTAGAACACAAGAGAATAGGCCTATGGCCATATCTTTGCAACAAGAGACATTATAGAAAATGTAGCTTGCACTTGTGCAGGTTCACTTGCAAAATAATGGACAGACAGCAGTCAATAAAGGACAAAAACACAAACAAGCTTAAAAATATCATGATATTTTAAAACAATTTTAAGCTTTTGAATGTTTTATTAGAAGTTTTACAGACTACCACATTGAATACGTTTAAAAGAGGTGTCAGGTTTTGTTCAAGGGTAACATCTGCTCTGCATGGCTTGTCATAAGATACATGTGCATGCTATCAAGATGACAATATTTTTTTCTTAGGAGCAAGTGCTGCATGTTATGTATAGAAATCTTTTTGCTTACAGTTTGACATTCAATCTTAACTTCCAAGGACAAGCACATCTTGAGGGTACGTGATTTTCTGCAATCTATTCAAGAATGAAAGTAGTTTTACATATTTATAAAAACAAAATTGAAAATTTCCAAAGGGGGATGAAAGCTTTCCAACTGTGGCATCAGGTTTCATTAACTTTCACTTATATTTTTCTATCTATATCAAATTGCCGTAATTATCTATCATCAATTCAACATTCCTTCAAACCTATCCAAAATGTGACTCTGCCATTTCTTTAGATTAAGTGAAACTGTAAGGATTGTTTCAAGAATTGAACTGTCAATTGAACATGAATGTGTTCCTTCTACACTACATGACCTGTAAATTTATGACATGGTGTTACAAAGATCCCTTCAATCTATGAGCTGTGTAATCCTTAGTAATGACCTTGTGACATGTCCATCAAAAATCTGTGTGTAAGGAAATTGGTTTAAAGGAGATAAACGTCATCATTATGTTTCACTATGATCAAGACCGGCAATTCATCATTACAACCAGAATATTTTAAAACTTGATGTTACCCCTAAGAAATTCATATCATTCTCACGTTCTTTGAACTATTTTCAGAACTGATACACTGTGAATGATGTAATGCATAGAGACAACAGAGAAAGCTGGTGTTAATCATACAATAATGTATCAGAGTTCTGACAGGGTATTCCTTCACCACACATAGTTATACTAGAGATGTTTGATGAACATCATAAGAGATCAGATGGTTGTGAGATGACATGTTTCATACAGCTGTATTGAAACTGTTTGAATTTCAACCCTAGACTGGAAAAAGTCCTGGAATTCATTCTCATGCCTTGAAAGTCTTGTAATTTGAAATTCATGCTTTGAAAATCTAGTACCTGTAATTTGAAATTCATGCTTTTAAAGTCTTGTAACTTGAAAATCATGCCTTGAAAGTCTTGTATTTTGAAAATCATGCTTTGAAAATCTAGTACATGTAATTTGAAATTCATGCTTTTAAAGTCTTGTAACTTGAAAATCATGCCTTGAAAGTTGTTAACTTTTTGTCTTTGTTGGTAAAAGAAGTTAGAGAACTAATTACTTTTACTTAAATATTCATAAAACAAGGAAATCCCATATAAATCTTGAGCAATATCTGTTTTAATATTTGTGATTGATAGGAGCAATCTTGTAACTGCTTAAATGTAAGTTACCTCCCTTTAAAGTGGAAATATTTGTGAAAAACTGTTAATCACTCATTAAAAATTAAAAACTCATTAACTGATTGTGGAATACTTTGATCACTGTCTGCAAAAAGCCTTGGAAATGTCCTTGAATTTGATGCCAGAAGTTTGCAAAAGGCTTTGAATTTGATGTATCAAAGTCTGTTAGAACTATGGAAGTAGAAATGATGAAGAGATTCAATCTTTTGGTTATCACATGTGTATGTATTGTTTCATCTGATGCTGAACATTGCTTTGACTATAATAGATTCAAACATTGATTTTGAAAATAGTTAAAAAGTAAAGAAATATCAGATGAATGTAGCTGTTTTTAATTTTTAAACAGATCATGAATGATAATGAGACCAATATCTAACTGACTTGATGTAATTAGATGAGTTGGCGACACTGCTATAATATTGTAACAAAGATCTGGTACCTAGTTTAGTTACAATGCTAAATATATCAGACTTTCAAACAAACAGTCTGTCAGACTTCCTTTCCTGGTCAGAACTTTTGAAATTAGAGCAGAATATACTTATAGAACTATGTTATGATCCTTGTCATTTTCTTGCCTATGTCCAATTATCCATTGAGAATCAACAACACTTTTTCAGTTCGTCCAGACAGACTAATAGTCTTTATCAAAATAGCTTCAGTATTGTGATTATATATAGACCAATATCTAATCAGGCACACAGCAGGCCCTTTGTTGACGATCTGAGTGGTCTGATTTTTTCCAGGTCATCTGACCGATTGCCATGATGACGTCTGTCCTAATCATTGTGCTTCATCGTCATTCTATAAGTGTACCTTACTGAGTGAACTTTTGAGCTTTTAAAATTCTCCTACTGGGGATTACTGGTGAAAGGTTGCGGAACAATTATATCCAATGTTGATATTTTGCTGACTTGGTAGAAATCCAAGGCGATTGTAATGTCAAAATACCCCAATATGAAATTTAAGTTGTCATTGATTGTTTAGAATATTTTAGCACTCAAGTTGGAAAAATTGTGTTGTTTTAGAGCTGATGCAATTAGACCTAAACATTTGACCTGATTATACAGTCATTAATTTCCTTTTAAAAAATTGTATTCCTCAAGTCATGTTAAGTTGTTTGGGATTTGATAGACACTTACCAGGAATAGTTCTGTATGATAATATCAGTTGTCCACATGTTACTGATAATGATCAGATTGATTTGATGCTTAAGATGGTCTTGCATTATGGTCATGAGATTCTTAAACACATCTTCCACTGATACAGTTACTTATCAGAAGACTCATCATGGTTTTTTAAAAAAAACCCAATATTTTATGGCCAAAATCAATTTCTGAAATGTAAAAATGCAAACAAGTGACAAAAATAAATCCCCTATAAAAATTATTTTAATAAAACTTTGAAATTTGACATTTATCCTGGATTTATCCTGACCATTAGTGATGGTAATATTTTGGATTTGTTCAATATACAAGAGATTGACTCTAAAAAACCCTCATTTCAAATTCTTTTGGAAGTGCTAGATGTACCAGAGGGAATTCAGCTGAAATATTAGAAGAATAATCCTTATTTCCATCAAATGTTGCTTTTATGTGGCCACTCTAAAATTCAAATTGGCAATCCTGGTTGCCACCTTGAAGAACAAAGTTTCGTTTAGTTTAGGTTTCTATACATCAAATTTAGTTCGATCCTGGAAAGAATCTAACAAAACGTTGATATTTGAATCAGTAGAAAATGAAGGAATTTGCCTTTACTAGCTTTATATGAAACTAAAATGAAGGATTATATAGTTTTGCTAATAGAATGTTGTCAAAACTTGTTCAACTTTTTGAACTTGTTAAACAGCTTCAACCTATAATTAATATTTGTCACCATTCTTGATTGTTTATAGAGTTGCCCCAGTGACTTGTTTATTATCACCTCCATTTCAAAAGAGTTCTTAATTGTGATAATCAATTTAAGTCGCTTGCAATTTCAAACTCTAATCATTTAAAGACATTCAAGTCTGAAAGATGAAATAATTAACCAACTAATTTGAAATTGTTTGGTCCAGCGAAATTTAAGTTATTGCTGTTCAAACTTGTTAGGAATACAATAATAATTACTTAGAACTAAAATTTAATTTGGAACATTTGTTTACTGACTTTTAATTTAATTAATCAGTTGTATTGGGTGGCCCTTAGACAAATTACCACTGTTAGCTCTCTGATGGCCTGGGTTACAACTGTTGTTGCCTGGTAGTCTGTGTTTCTACTGTTACTGCCAAGATGGTGTGGGGTACAACTATTAGTACCCAGGTGGTGTGGGTTACAACTGTTGTTGCCTGGTTGGCCTGAGTTACTTTTGTTACTGCCCTGGTGGCCTGGGTTACTTATGTTACTGCCCTGGTGGCCTGGGTTACTTATGTTACTGCCCTGGTGGCCTGGGTTACTACTGTTGTTGCCTAGTTGGCCTGGGTTACTTTTGTTACTGCCCTGGTGGCCTGGGTTACTACTGTTGTTGCCTGGTGGTCTGGGTTACTTTTGTTACTGCCCTGGTGGCCTGGGTTACTACTGTTGTTGCCTGGTAGTCTGGGTTACTTTTGTTACTGCCCCGGTGGCCTGGGTTACTACTGTTGTTGCCTGGTGGCCTGGTTTACTTTTGTTACTGCCCTGGTGGCCTGGGTTACTACTGTTGTTGCCTGGTTGGCCTGAGTTACTTTTGTTACTGCCCTGGTGGCCTGGGTTACTTATGTTACTGCCCTGGTGGCCTGGGTTACTTATGTTACTGCCCTGGTGGCCTGGGTTACTACTGTTGTTGCCTGGTTGGCCTGTGTTACTTTTGTTACTGCCCTGGTGGCCTGGGTTACTACTGTTGTTGCCTGGTGGTCTGGGTTACTTTTGTTACTGCCCTGGTGGCCTGGGTTACTACTGTTGTTGCCTGGTGGTCTGGGTTACTTTTGTTACTGCCCTGGTGGCCTGGGTTACTACTGTTGTTGCCTGGTGGCCTGGTTTACTTTTGTTACTGCCCTGGTGGCCTTGGTTACTACTGTTGTTGCCTGGTGGCCTGGTTTACTTTTGTTACCGCCCTGGTGGCCTTGGTTACTACTGTTGATACCTGGTGGCCTGGGTTACTTTTGTTACTGCCCTGGTGGCCTGGGTTACTTTACTACTGTTGTTGCCTGGTGGCCTGGGTTACTTTTGTTACTGCCCTGGTGGCCTGGGTTACTACTGTTGTTGCCTGGTGGCCTGGGTTACTTTTGTTACTGCCCTGGTGGCCTGGGTTACTACTGTTGTTGCCTGGTGGCCTGGTTTACTTTTGTTACTGCCCTGGTGGCCTTGGTTACTACTGTTGATGCCTGGTGGCCTGGGTTACTTTTGTTACTGCCCTGGTGGCCTGGGTTACTTTACTACTGTTGTTGCCTGGTGGCCTGGGTTACTTTTGTTACTGCCCTGGTGGCCTGGGTTACTACTGTTGTTGCCTGGTGGTCTGGGTTACTTTTGTTACTGCTCTGGTGACCTTGGTTACTTATGTTACTGCCCTGGTGGCCTGGTTTATAAGTGTTGTTACCTGGTTGGCCTGGTTTACTTGTTGTTACCTGGTTGGCCTGGGTTACTTATGTTACTGCCCTGATGGCCTGGTTTACAAGTGTTGTTACCTGGTTGGCCTGGGTTACTTATGTTACTGCCCTGATGGTCTAGATTTCCTTTACTGGTGCCTTGATTGCCTGGATGACTTGTATTACTAACCTGGTGGCCCAGGTTACCACTGTTCTTGCCTAGATAGGTAGGTCTATAACTGTTAATGCCCTGGTAGTCAGGGTTACTTAGATTACTGCACTGCTTGCGAGGGTTACTACAGGCTGTTACTGCAGAGGTAGCCTGAATTACTACTGTTACTGCTGTAGTTGCCTAGGTTACTACTCAACTTATACTTCCTTTATTGCCAACTGCACTTGTGTCTTATTTTACTGCTCAGGTAACCTAAATTGCTGTTTAGGTGACCATAATTGACAAAGTTGCTTTCTCCTGCCTTCTATCTTATCCAATGTTACATCAATTTTTGCAAGTTTTTGTCCATAAGTTTTGCTGATTAACCATGCTCCAGGAGTTACCCCGGTCAACAATGCAGTAACATGGAAGATTTTGCCTGGAGTAGTTTGAAAAGTACTGGTTAAATTGTCTTATACACAAAATGTATAATCAGGCACTGGAACCAGTGTAAAGCGAAGACACTTGAACGATTTGCTTTTAAGACTGGAAGAAGTTGAATCAGTACATTTTCATGTTAATCAGTTAAAGGTAAAAAGATAAGTGTTTGTAACATGCATGAGCCACTGGTTTAACCATAAAGGTATTAGGAGTGTGATGGCGAATATTGAAGATCTTTTATTTTTGGCGCATCTGTTTACAAAGTGTTATGAGTTTCTGTCCATTTGATTCAGTAATATAAGGTATACATATTCTGATATCCTCATGCCCTTGATTCTACTCCAAAAACTAATAGGGCACACTATTTAGAGTGACATTGCATTCACTTTGTGTTTTATTCTTTAAACTTGATTTGATTCAAATCGCCCTATATCCATCTGTAAACAGTTTTTGTTATTGCTAACAACTTTTGTTATTGCTATTTCTTGAGAAGTACTGGATGGGTCTTTCGCAAAATTGATATGTATGTTTTGCTTGATCCCTAGTTGTGCCCGTTTGATTTTGGGATGGCGGCCATCTTGGATTTTTTTCAATGACATTTGTTATCACGATTTCTTGAAAAAGTACTCAGTGGTTCTCTCTCAAATTTCATTCTTAAGGTCCCCCCTTGGTCTTTAGTGGTATTGGTTTTTGAGTTGATATTTATTAAAAACAGTAATTAATTGATTTCTATGACCTGACCCTGCTAAATGAATGACCTAACTTTTCCGACAAAAACAAAATACAGTGTATTCAATAATATCATGCTGAAGAAAAATACGATTGAAGGATAAGTCTAAAAGTTTGACCAATTTTAAGTTAGAATTATAAATTATATGGAAAGAAAGGAAAATGGTTTGTGTGATCCACATATTTTTTTAAACTGACAAGTTTATTAACCATCATACTGCTCGTTAATTAGGGCGCAGTGACGAAGGATTAAACAACACTGAGAACTGCTCTTATTTTTAAAGCAGTCCATGAGTCACATCAGACAAAATTCTAAAAAAATCAAGCTTTCTATGATACTGAGTGTTTCCAGTTTTCTATTTCTGGCCTGTAAGTTGTATTTGAAACGGTTTTGTTTTGCTCTAATAAGTTTGTATGATTACAAATAGATTTACCATAGTTTATCCTTGTATCGAAATATATTGCAAAAACAATGTATGTGAGATGAACTATTTTTCTTTACATAAGAGGAAAATATTTATGTAGAAATGCCTGAAGTAACATGGCAACCATGACCTATATGAATCATTTTAAGAACCCTTGAGTGCAACCATAATATTTTTTTATTTTTTTGTCTTGATGAAAACTGACAAATTTTTGTGATAGTGGTGTACATTGTTAACATGAAAAATAGAACATCGTTTAGCTTTGACGTCACTTTTGATACAATAATGGCTTTTTACACAGACAGATGGTAAGACATATTAGGATGATACTAGTTTATAATCAAAAGTCAGCAGGATGAGTTCTAGGGTATTACGGTTATTTATTTATACACATTGATCTTGACAGGTTGACATTACAATTAACTTTTTGAAAAAAACAAGCAAAAAAATTGAAATATTCTCAATCCTCCATCTGTCAGGCCATCCATCAGTTAAATTTAGATACCAATTCTAACAATACTGATATGGTATTGATTTGGGAGCAAAGTGATATCTTTTGAAAAAAAAATGGTTTTAAGCTCCTTTAATCTGATAAGTGTTAGCAGAAACATAATTATTTCATTAACATTTACAATATTTTTTCTTTTTTTCTACTATTCTTTAAGAATCAGTTTTGAAATATAACAATGATTTGTCTTTAAGGTTAATTGATATGAAAATTGTTAAATATGTTGTCAGTGTTACGCTGTCATAACCATTCATCTCCAGTGGGGATTGGTAGAGGACTAGGATATTACTAACACACCAGAACAGAGAAAGGAAGTTTTATCACTGAAAAAAACTGAATAATTGAGAATACAATATTATCATTGTGATATTCATCAAACTTACTCTGTATATATTTAGCCAACTCAAGCTATATCTTATCTCAACCGACGTACAAATTGGTAATTGTTTTGACAATAAAACTGGCTGGCAAGGTTCCTTCCATTAATCTTGGCCTCCTGGGTGTTTGTCTCTATATTTCCTCATTTCCTTGTGCTTCATCAACATTATTCTTATTTGCCAGAAATATCGGACACATCTACTTGGTTCCGGTGTTAAGACATCTTTATAAGCGTCTCTTGACTCTGTTGTTTCCAGAGATATCTGACCAAATAAAACATTATTAACACTGATTCTGAATGGCTGTGACAACATTGCTGGATTAGACAAAAAACCTAGCATTTAAGGACACTTGATAATATGTCTGGAGTTAGGGGAACTGTAAGATGTAAAGAACAAATCTGAGATCATTTGAACCATTACATGTAATAAGTCTGACTGGAGTTGATGGAACTTGCACATATAAGGAAGTAAAACCAAGAGCTGAGAAAGCTTTATGGTATACAATGATGGGAATCAGTGGAAATGTTTACTGTAAAGTATTGGAATGGTTTGATGTAAAAAATATTGAGATTGGGAGTGACTATCTGATGTAAAGTATAGGGAGTCAGTGGGTCTAGCTAGATGTAAGTAGAACTGTTAGATGGAAACTGAAGAGTTGTTGAAACTATCTGATGTAAAGTATAGGGAGTCAAGAGTCAGTGGAACTAACTAGATGTAAGTAGAACTGTTAAATGGAAACTGAAGAGTTGTTGAAACTATCTGATGTAAAGTATAGGGAGTCAGGAGCCAGTGGAACTAACTAGATGTAAGTAGAACTGTTAAATGGAAACTGAAGAGTTGTTGAAACTATCTGATGTAAAGTATAGGGAGTCAGGAGTCAGTGGAACTAACTAGATGTAAGTAGAACTGTTAAATGGAAACTGAAGATTTGGGGAAACTGTACAAAATTTTTTTACCTGGAATCAATAGAACTATCCATTACATATAGTCTGCCTAGGTTAGTGGAATGTATTAGACCTGGAAATCAGTCAGGGACCAGTCTAACTTTTTGATCTAAATGTCTTCCTGATTTCACAGTTATCATTGCTTTTATCTGACATACTCAGTGTGATATTATTATATGACCCGTTACATATGTTGATTTGGTAAAGATCCATTACTATCTGTTTAATTATAGGGAATCAATGATGTCAAAGAGACAAGAGTTATGAGGCTATCATCAGCAAAAATACCAAGTATCATAATGGGGATTGAAGTTGACGGAACAGTGCAAGCATTGGCAATAATCAACCCAGTATCACTACAGGGAATCAAGTTTTGATGTACAAGGCAATCATTAGCAAAAAACAACCCAGTTCCATTAAGGGGATTTAAGTTGGAGGTACAAGGCAATTAGTAGCGAAAAACAACCCAGTATCAGTTTTGGACAATCAAGTTTGAGGTACAGGGCAGTCAGTAGAATATAACCCAGTATCAGTTTTGGACAATCAAGTTTGAGGTACAGGGCAATCGTAAGTAGAATATAACCCAGTATCAGTTTTGGATTATCAAGTTTGAGGTACAGGGCAATCGTCAGTAGAATATAACCCAGTATCAGTTTTGGATTATCAAGTTTGAGGAACAATGCAGTCAGTAACAAAAATCAGCTATTGTGGAATCTGTTCTGGAAAAAAAAAACTGACATGTATGACCATAAAACCAGGCCTACACATCTCTACTGGGATGTAGGGAGCTTACATTTATAAATCTAGCTAAGCCACAATCCAGCACTTTTCTATCCTACTGTAACTTTGGTTAAAGCTCATAGGACCTACTGCTGTAGTACAGAAGATATATGTGCACTGTTCTTGATTTATTTTTAGAGTTTCAACAATTGACATCAAAGAATGAATAAAAATAAGGTTTCTTAGAGATGCTGGTATGAATTTTTTGGCAGTAAATGACTTGGTCTGGGAATAGCATGTTTTTAAAGGTCCCCAGTACATGTATTCACATTATAAAGGAATTTTATGGAGTCATAAGTCTGAAGGTGGATATTTAGTGGGTGTATATCAGAATACTATATCTATAACCATGACAAATGAAGGTCAACTTCACTGACAAAGGTCAAATAAATGTCATGTTCTCCACTATTTTCAGCCATTGAAACTCTTTCTCATGTCAAGGTCATCATAGTTTTTACTTAATCCTGTGCTATATAAGTTATGAAGGACTTTGTAAAGGTTTGTCAAAATGACATATAAAAATTTTCTAAGATCCACTTTCTCAGTATTACTAATTTTGTAGCTTTCTAATGATATCTGAGACCAGAAAAATTCCATATTTCTAGTACTAGGTATCATTTGGTGTGTAAGTTGTTACTTTATCTGTACTTTGAAAGCCAGTGCTTCGATATCTCAGTTGAGTAGAGCATTAATTGACCTCAGTAACCTCAGATAAGGATCCAGGGTACAATACTTGGTTCAACTTTCTTTCCCTGTGGCAGTTTTTTTTTTCCTGAAGAAGATGAGAAACATACTTGTCTGTGCTGATTCTTTCCCTGTAGCAGTTTGTGTTTCAACAGAAGCTGAGAAACATACTGGTCTGTGTTGATTCTTTCCCTGCGACAGTTTTTGTTTCTACAGAAGCTGAGAAACATACTGGTCTGTGCTGATTCTTTCCTTGCGGCAGTTTGTGTTTCTACAGAAGCTGAGAAACATACTGGTCTGTGCTGATTCTTTCCCTGCGACAGTCTGTGTTTCTACAGAAGCTGAGAAACAAACTGGTCTGTGCTGATTCTTTCCCTGTGGTTTTGTGTTTCTACAGAAGCTGAGAAACATACTGGTCTGTGCTGATTCTTTCCCTGCGGTTTTGTGTTTCTACAGAAGCTGAGAAACATACTGGTCTGTGCTGATTCTTTCCCTGTGGTTTTGTGTTTCTGCAGAAGCTGAGAAACATACTGGTCTGTGCTGATTCTTTCCCTGAAGCAGTTTGTGTTTCTACAGAAGCTGAGAAACATACTGGTCTGTGCTGATTCTTTCCTTGCGGCAGTTTGTGTTTCTACAGAAGCTGAGAAACATACTGGTCTGTGCTGATTCTTTCCCTGCGACAGTCTGTGTTTCTACAGAAGCTGAGAAACAAACTGGTCTGTGCTGATTCTTTCCCTGTGGTTTTGTGTTTCTACAGAAGCTGAGAAACATACTGGTCTGTGCTGATTCTTTCCCTGCGGTTTTGTGTTTCTACAGAAGCTGAGAAACATACTGGTCTGTGCTGATTCTTTCCCTGTGGTTTTGTGTTTCTGCAGAAGCTGAGAAACATACTGGTCTGTGCTGATTCTTTCCCTGAAGCAGTTTGTGTTTCTACAGAAGCTGAGAAACATACTGGTCTGTGCTGATTCTTTCCCTGTGGTTTTGTGTTTCTACAGAAGCTGAGAAACATACTGGTCTGTGCTGATTCTTTCCCTGTGGTTTTGTGTTTCTGCAGAAGCTGAGAAACATACTGGTCTGTGCTGATTCTTTCCCTGAAGCAGTTTGTGTTTCTACAGAAGCTGAGAAACATACTGGTCTGTGCTGATTCTTTCCCTGTGGTTTTGTGTTTCTACAGAAGCTGAGAAACATACTGGTCTGTGCTGATTCTTTCCCTGTGGTTTTGTGTTTCTGCAGAAGCTGAGAAACATACTGGTCTGTGCTGATTCTTTCCCTGTGGTTTTGTGTTTCTACAGAAGCTGAGAAACATGCTGGTCTGTGCTGATTCTTTCCCTGTGGTTTTGTGTTTCTGCAGAAGCTGAGAAACATGCTGGTCTGTGCTGACTGGTTGTGTCCTTTGGGTCTTTACTCCTATTCTATTCTAAGGTAGCTTAGAATAAAGTTGCCACCAGCTGCTACAGGGAGAACCTGCCTCAAAAAAAACCCTGACCGTTCACAGGGCAATAAATCCTACAAATTAAATCTACTTTTTATTCATTTAAATTGTCAAAAAGTTAGAAATTTATTTTGCCTGGCCATACTTGCAAAATTTTTAAACTCCCAAGAAAATTTTCATCTAACTTATGGACAATGTTTGTTAAACACCTGCTAACTTATAGACAGTGTTTATTTAACACCTGTTAACTTATGGACAATGTTTGTTAAACACCTGCTAACTTATGTACAGTGTTTGTTAAACACCTGCTAACTTATGTACAGTGTTTGTTAAACACCTGCTAACTTATAGACAGTGTTTGTTTAACACCTGTTAACTTATGGACAATGTTTGTTAAACACCTGCTAACTTATAGACAGTGTTTGTTAAACACCTGCTAACTTATAGATAGTGTTTGTTAAACACCTGTTAAGTTATGAACATAAAATCCAAAACAGATATTTATATGACGTGACTATAGCTAGTAGTGTACAAATGCCATTAGCTTTATTTGATATAAGGTAAAGAGACACAAATTTTGATGTAAATTTTATAGAAGGAAGTGGATTGATGTCCTATCAGGTAAGAATGATAAAATAGATGTCATTGACCCACTTTCAAGGTCACAGACATCTATTGTATCAAAATTTTAAAAGATGTTATTACAAGTTAATATGTCTCAAATTGACCTGTCTCATGCATATACTCATTAGGAAAATCAGAACATCCACACATAAATGATGTTTTATACATCTTTCTTGTTAGCTCTCAGTTGCTGATAAGGTACTTGTGTATAATAAGGATGAAAATGTAGACACCCTGTCCTAGCCTTTGTGTTTCTTGTTGTGATAAAATGTTAACAATCTTGTTAGACAAATTCTGGGAATCATTATAGAGCAATGCAAGAAGAGAGTAACACGAGAGTGAGGACCTAATATTTAAGATAAAGAATATGAGAAAATAAGTAATTCCTTGAAATACCACATATAATCACTGTAGAATATGTGAGGCAAGGTTGTATTGATTACTGGAACAAAATTAATGATAATCCATTACATAACAGGGGAGGTAACTCTATAGTTGATTGTATTAATTGAGTTACACGTAGAGGATAATTGTGTGAAATGTTGTATTAGACAGACAAGGTAAACATTACAAAGTCATCCACTTGTCTGTATGTTCATGTAATGGCCTATTTGTCAACTCATCCATAAAAAGCAAAAAGCTCCAAGTAATTTCACACATTCATGATGAATGGATTAACGCGTAACAAGAAGACTTCACGAGAAAATTGGAATATTTCTCTATCTCTTTTCCAATAAATGTACACACAGTTTGCATGGTTTTGTCACTGCTGTAAGAGATATTCTTGAAACTAAGTATTGGATAAACAAAACGGGTGGAGGATTACATGAGATAGAAAATGAGATCATTGACCTATAACGACATTTCCGTAAAAACTGTCTTTTAGCTTCTTCTTTAATACTCTTTGCTGTATAGTTGGGAGACAGATTTCAAAGTTTGAGCCGGAACATTGACAGATGAGGCAAAGGGGACCACACAACGTGGTGAATACACCAATCTGTCGGTGCTGCAGTGGTAATTGTAATCGAGAGATAGATATGTTTGCCTACAGTATTCACTGGCGCCTGCTAATCTAGCTAACTTCATTTAAAGGAAATATGGATGGATCATGTGTGAATGATTACGGCAAGCTGTCCCTTTAACACTGGCTGGAGATAGGAACAAGCTGTCACTTTAACACTAGCTGGAGAAAGGAACAAGCTGTCACTTTAACACTGGCTGGAGATAGGAACAATCTGTCCCTTTTACACTGGCTGGAGATGGGAACAAGTTGTCCCTTTTACACTGGTTGGAGATAGGAACAATCTGTCCCTTTTACACTGGCTGGAGATGGGAACAAGTTGTCCCTTTTACACTGGTTGGAGATAGGAACAATCTGTCCCTTTTACACCGGCTGGAGATGGGAACAAGTTGTCCCTTTTACACTGGTTGGAGATGGGAAGAAGCTGTCCATTTTACATTGTCTGGAGATGGGAACATGAGGAAATCATTGCAGATACTTCAAAAAAAAAAATCACAAGGCCATTTATCAGACTTCAGGGAACACCAAAGATAGCAATGCATTAAACTAAAAATATCAGATACTTGTTAGTCTGTATATTGCTGTGTTGTGATTTGAATGAAGTGCAGTACAATGCCCAAAATGTCCAACATTTAAAGTTGTACTGTGTGGTACAATGGCATACAGTTCAAAGCTGTACTGTGTGGTACAATGTCTAACAGTTCAAAGTTGTACTGTGTGGTACTATATCTAACATTTCAAAGTTGTACTGTGTGATACAATGTCCAACAGTTCAAAGTTGTACTGTGTGGTACAAAGTCCAACAGTTCAAAGTTGTAAAAGTGCAAAGCTTTAATTAAACTAAATGTGATTTAAGCGAAAGATTACAAAGTTATAAACTACTTTCTGTAATGAAACTTAAATGGATTGGTAAATGTTTCCAGTAATTTTAGGGTTGTGTTTTCAAGTGAAACCAATTTTCATGATACAATACTTACTCTAACTTTAGTATGAAAATATAGTAACAAAAGATTACAAAAGTCCCACCCTCCCTACCACCTCCATTGAGTCATTGTGACAGAGACATAGAGTGATATCCCTGCCTCAAACACTTCTATGAAGCCATCAAAGGTTTGCCAGACAGGAAAGGAAAGGGGAAGAAAGGATGGGACTCCATAAAGTTATGGTAAGTAATTACATTATAAAAATTAGTTTTTATTTGGGAACCCCCCAAATAGTACCAAAAAAGGGATTAATTGGTACTAAGATCTTCCATCGAGATTAGTAGACTGTAGAAGAGGAAGTCCTGATAGATTGAGAGATGTAATCTGACATGTCTTGTGAAATTGTGTCTGAATGAGACTTCCTGAGATAGACTCTACACATAATGGTGAAGGATCTCTGGATGAAGTAGCATTGTCCTGGACTAAGGCTGGGGAAGGAGATTCCATCTGATGTGGAGAGCCAACAGCTGCTTCCACCAGAAACAACAAGATCTCCAGAAACCTCGGCCACATGGACGCTATCAGAAGTAAGGAACTATGATGTTCCTGAAACTTCTCTAGCACACTGCCCACCAGATTGAATGAAGGGAATACATAGGGATACATCTCCGCCCAGTTCATAGATAGAGCTTCCAAGATCAAAGCTTTCAGGTACGTGACAACTGATGAGTTGTTTATAGCCACACAAATCACCTTGGAATGCCAGGAAGAAAAGGAGACTGCTTTCCAGTCACCTTACTGGTAAAGCCAACCCCTAGGAGGTAACCCCCTGGGCACCCAGGAACAGGAAACTGGGAAGGGCCGAATCAGACCAAGACCAGGTAACTAATTGGGTGGCAGAGTCAGCTGAGCATTGATGCCGGGATTAGTGAGCTGTGTGTCATTAATCCCAGTAGAAACAGACAAGCCAGCAAGGAAGTCTGTGAATCTAGGACCTGAACTTGAAAGGACAGGCCTGGCACCAATGCTGCTCCTATCAACAGCCCACCTGGAACACTGTAATCACTGATAAGATCAGTGACTAGCAACCAGTAATCCCTGCCCAAAGTCAAACCCATAGGTTTATAGGAATTCCTAACCAATTTGACCCTAACCAAACCAGGATGGGGCTGTTCCTTCCCTTCTCAAGGGAGTTCCTTGACAGGAGGGACCAACCCTGATTAAGAGAGGAACTTTTAGGGACAAGCTCCCACCCCCCACTTCCTGAGATAGGATTGGCATCATCACAAAACAACTCCGAGCCAAACACAGCATCCCTAACAAGGTTTCCTCTCATGCCGGAAAAAGACGAAAATGACTCTCTCTTACAGCAGGAAGAAGATCGTCTTGAAGGCTGGGAGGTCTTGACCTGAGACTGTCCACACGGAGAAAACTCATTACAAGGGCGACGTAGGGGACAACCATCACAAGGGTCCAACTCCCAAAAAAAATTGGAACAACCATGGACTGAACCCTGTCACAATCCTGTCCAAGACATACTTCCAACAAATGATTGGAATTTGTGAACAATCACGGAAAAAAAAGAAGATATAAATGAATAAACGTAAGTCAAAATTACATGCCAACCAAACAAAAACACGACGTAAGCCGAGCTATTAAAAAGCTGAAAGCAAGGCTGACAACAAAGATCTAATTGCGAAACTGTAATGGTAGACCACGTGGCAAACCACTTGGACACGTGGAGGAAAGAAAATAGCCGAAAAATGGCACAATTAAACAATCAAGATAATAATAAACAAAAGGGCAGAGGGGCAAATCAATTAAAACTGAGCAAAAGTAAGTCTTGACATAAGAAACATTCTGAATGGCTAAAAAAAACAAAGTTAGAACAGAACTCAGCTGTAGAACATCAGCCACCGGTTATCACCATAAAGGAAAGACAAAGGGAGATCACTCTATGTTTCTGCCATAATGACTCACAGGGCTGTATGGAGGGCGGGATTTTTAATCTTTTGTTTTAGGCTACAAATATGGGTGTATGTACTGTATTTGCATACTAAAGTTATAGTAATTATTACTTAAATGAAATCAGTTTTGTCTTAGGAACACCATCCCTACACTAACAAATGTAAGACTACTTAAGATTTAGTCAGCCTTATCTCATAATACCAATCATCACCACTTTCCACGTCTTGTTTGATTTGCCTTGCATACTAGGTTAAACGTTCTTTCAATATGAAACAAAGAAGTAATCCCACAACCATTTGATCTTGTAATTATATGCTGGTAATGAGATCCACAGATGCTTCTTCTGTAGAGCTATTTATTGACAGAACTTCTGGAGCAGAAAATAGTCCAATCACATGGGAGTTATACTCTGACACAGGCCGCGGTTGGATCTCGGTGATAAAAACAGCTCCACAATCAATAAAACAAACACTCAACCAGTGACATTTTCACAGTTTAATGACCAGCTAAATGTTCTATTTGGAGATAATTTGTAAACATCAACTGTTTTAGAAATAATCCACTAGGTGTATAATTATGATCTTATTTCATTGTTAGGATATTTTATTTAGTAGTCTCCCCTGATTCAGGCACTTCATAACTCTGTTCCTAGCCCTAGCAGAGCTCTGTACTAAGCCATAGTAGAGCTTTGTTCCTGGCCCTAGCAGAGCTCTGTACTAAGCCATAGTAGAGCTCTGTATCTAGTCCTAGTAGAGCTCTGTATCTATCCATAGTAGAGCTCTGTATCTAGCCATGGTAGAGCTCTGTACCTAGCCATGGTAGAGCTCTGTATCTAGCCCTAGTAGAGCTCTATATCTATCCCTAGTAGAGCTCTGTATCTAGCCCTAGTAGAGCTCTGTATCTAGCCCTAGTAGAGATCTGTATCTAGTCCTAGTAGAGCTCTATATCTATCCCTAGTAGAGCTCTGTATCTAGCCATGGTAGAGCTCTGTACCTAGCCATCGTAGAGCTCAATACCTAGCCATAGTAGAGCTCTGCACCCAGCCCTAGTAGAGCTCAATACCTAGCCATAGTAGAGCTCTGCACCCAGCCCTAGTAGAGCTCTGTATCTTGCCCTAGTAGGGCAATGAAACTTTATATCTTTGTTTCTTGTTTAAACTTCAAATGTCAAGTTCAAAAACTCAGTGTGACACGCACTGCGAAAACATCAAGGAAATTTTATGTTGTTTAATCCCAACAGTGAGGCGTGAAAGTATCAACTTAGATGGCAAATATCACCTGTCCTGTAATGGTTGGAGATAGGCCCTGATTTTGTGTCACATGATCAGTAGTGCCAGTACCCCCGGTTTAGCAGACATTATCTTTTATTTTTGGCTACGTTTTTAAACATTAATTATCAGTAATCCAGAATGGTTCACCATTTCAAAAATCCTATTACTCCACAAGAAAAGAGAAACTTAAAAATGTTTTTTGGAAAAAAGTTTGTCTGGGCTTTGTCTCTTACACTGAACAAAGTTTAATAGTAAAACTGCACAGTTTACCAGCTAAATATTTACTCATTAAAGCAAATTTCTAATGGAGAATATTCTGACGGTCCAGCACTGAGCAGCTGATGTACATTTTTTCCTGATATACATGTTTGTTAGGAGATTGTGGGGACAGGATAATTCATTTGATCATTTAACTGTATAAAAATATAGAAAAGATAATCATGAAGGATTTTATGTGATATTTGAGAATGTATATCCAATTATAGACACACATGATGTGGATGCTTTTAACAATTTACAGGTAGGATATAGAAATAGCAATCTGTAGCAGGCAAAATAGGATTAAGTAATTCTACTAAATGGAACATGACAGCATTCGATGGTAGCCATTATCAGCTTCTCGATATAACCTGATTCTGTAACCAATATCAGGCTTGCAAAATTATCTATACACCCCATTCAGGGTTTATTGCTATTTCTACCTAGCTGCGGTTCAAACAAGGTAATGCAAATCTGAGAGATTACCAGACAAATCTCCGTGGTCAAACATAATTAGATGCTCTCCTAATAGGAAATTTATCAGGATCATTACCAGTCCCCATACATTGAGCTCATTCTATTAATTTGTAGATGTACTTTTATTTGAGTGTTTGTAAGAGACTAATTGTATTGAAATAGTAGGAGATAATTAGATAGTGTATACTGCACCCAGATATTACTGTCTAATAAAAGATATAAAGGTAGCACCACATTTTCTAGTAGGTGTGTCATTTGTGTAGGGCAAAAATTTATATCTTATTTCACTAAACTTCAAATGTCAAGTTCAAAAACTCAGTTGACACTGCGAAAACATCAAGGAAATTTTATGTTGTTTAATCCCAACAGTGAGGCGTGAAAGTATCAACTTTTTATGGCAAATATCACCTGTCCTGTAATGGTTGGAGATAGGCCCTGATTTTGTGTCACATGATCAGTAGTGCCAGTACCCCCGGTTTAGCAGACATTATCTTTTATTTTTGGCTACGTTTTCAAACATTAATTATCAGTAATCCAGAATGGTTCACCATTTCAAAAATCCTATTACTCCACAAGAAAAGAGAAACTTAAAAATGTTTTTTGGAAAAAAGTTTGTCTGGGCTTTGTCTCTTACACTGAACAAAGTTTAATAGTAAAACTGCACAGTTTACCAGCTAAATATTTACTCATTAAAGCAAATTTCTAATGGAGAATATTCTGACGGTCCAGCACTGAGCAGCTGATGTACATTTTTATCCTGATATACATGTTTGTTAGGAGATTGTGGGGACAGGATAATTCATTTGATCATTTAACTGTATAAAAATATAGAAAAGATAATCATGAAGGATTTTATGTGATATTTGAGAATGTATATCCAATTATAGACACACATGATGTGGATGCTTTTAACAATTTACAGGTAGGATATAGAAATAGCAATCTGTAGCAGGCAAAATAGGATTAAGTAATTCTACTAAATGGAACATGACAGCATTCGATGGTAGCCAATTATCAGCTTCTCGATATAACCTGATTCTGTAACCAATATCAGGCTTGCAAAAATTAATCTATACACCCCATTCAGGGTTTATTGCTATTTCTACCTGCTGCGGTTCAAACAAGGTAATGCAAATCTGAGAGATTACCAGACAAATCTCCGTGGTCAAACATAATTATATGTCTCTCCTAATAGGAAATTTATCAGGATCATTACCAGTCCCCATCACATTGCCGACTCATTGATTAATTTGCCAGATGTACTTTTATTTGAGTGTTTGCCTAAGTAGACTAATTGTATTGAAATAGATAGGAGATAATTAGATAGTGTATACTGGTGTGGATATTACTGTCTAATAAAAGATATAAAGGTAGCATACACATTTTCTCTAGGTGTGTCATTTGTGTACAAAATATCGTCAACGGATATTTCACTAAACTGTCTTCACCTAAAGTATTTTCCTCAGTTACCTAAATATACGGTATTTGGTAAAATCAGTTTTTTACACATGATAACTTTTTATCAAATTAGTACAACAATGAATTTGTGCATCCTCAGTATTTGCATAGTAATGTGAAAGTAGCATTCAGAGACACCAATTCACGTAGTTATATATATGCATCCTCCATCTTGTTACATAAATGTGAATGAATATCCCTGCTGTACATGTTCCATTATTTCCATGGAAAATCCATGGACATTTTCAATGGAATTTATTTTGTCTATGTATTTTCCATGGAAAATGATGGTTTTTCCATAGAAATTAATTTTTTCCATGGAAAATGTACATTGGAAATGGTCACCATATGCTGACTTTTTATATATTTCACAAATACATTGATATGAAAAATATAGCATGGCGTTATTCATATAAAATCCGGAAAAGCCAAATACACACAAATATATTTCAGCATGATGCTGAGTGTATAGGATTGAGCGTATTACAGAATATTAAGGTAGACAACCAACTTCTAAGATTCTAAGGTATGCTGTATATTTTGCATGATCAGAATCATATAACACTAGACATGGCACTCTGAAATGAAGTACCAGAACTGTGTTCTAGCATTAGACACTGGAATGCA